GTGAAGGTGTCCACGCTTTCTATTTTGCCTCTAAAGAAGTTATGGCCCGAGCTAAAAGTTTTTTCGATGACGTGAAAAAGGAAATAGAATGCCCAGTGTGTCAGGAGCAATTCGGCGCAAACAAGCAACCGAAAATTCTCAAATGCCTGCATACCTTTTGTAAATCATGTTTGGACGGATGGCTTCGACAACATCGCACAGGAGCCTTAAGTTGCCCGACTTGCCGCACAGTAACTGAGTGCCCGAACAGTGACATCGACAGTCTCCCGTCGAACCTGTTTTACAAACAAATGGTGGAAATTGTGGAGGCATACACTGGCCAAGAAGAATCATCGTGTTGCGGGAAATGCGATGAACAAAAATTGCTGAAGTTTTACTGCTCCAATTGCAACTGTTTACTGTGCGAAGAATGCGCTATAGTACACAAGAAGTGGAAGGATTTCAGAGGCCATAAGCTCAAGGAAATTGGACAACTTCAGTCTAGTGATTTAGAGGACTACTCTCGAAGAGCTAACGTCTGCAAGGAACACAATGACGAATTTAGATTTTTCTGCGACGCATGTCAAATTTGCATTTGTCGTGACTGCGCCATTTTAGACCACGACGACCACAAGAAAATTTCGCTAGAGAAAGGACTAGAAAATAAGACAACTGAAATTGAGAATAAGATACGAGAGGTTCAGGCAAACGGATCTCACTTGAGAAACAAAAAGGAATATCTAGAGAAACGCAGAATCAAAGTAATGAACAGCTTTGAGCGAGCAACAAACAGTGTACGCATGGTTGCAGAACAGTGGATTACATTTATTCGCAAGCATGAATCAGCCATAACAGAAAAGTTAATGAAGCAGAAAGATGCATTTGAAGCTAAATTTTCAAACCAGATGTCGAGCTTGGATGAAAGAGTTGTGGAAATCGAAAGCAGTCTTAGTTTTGGCGAGGAAATACTCTCTCGTAGGAATCTACCAGAAATTTTAAACGTTGAAGAAATGCTGGAGAACAGGCTGCAAGAACTCTCCGTGCCCTTTGAGTCCACATTAGTCTTTCCTGAAGTTGTGTACAGTTCAAATGATTTCAATAGTTTGAAAGATGGACCTGGAGAGCTGATAAGGACGGTTACAGAACCTACGGTATCTGTTGCAGAAGGTCACGGTTTGAATGAGGCCATTGAAGGAGAGGAGAGCACATTTACTGTGATTACAAAAGATATCAAGG